AATTTTGTTTTTTGCTAAGAGCCAGAGTTTTCTCAAGGTGATTAAGGAGCCAACGCGGTAAACCAAAGTGTTATCCTCTAGACCTTGAATTTTCCGAAACTTTAGTACAGAGGCTAAGGAGTAAAACACTCAGTGGTGGGTTTCAGCACTTTCTTTCTTTCTTTTTTTTCATTCCCCTCACCACCTTACTGTTACCAAAGGCAAGTTCATGTGACTGAGGTCGAACAAACCAAAACGTTGGAGTTCAGAGCAGAGAAAGTTTTATCGCAGAGCCAAGTAAGGAGGATGGGGTGGCTCACACCCAGGAAAACCTCAAACTCCCCAAAGGGTTTCAGCAAAGCATATTTAAAGGCCGGGGGAGGGAGGAGGGTCGAAGGATAGGAGATCTGCCAGTGCACAATTCTCTAATTGGTCCATGTTGAGGCCAACACTATCAACCCCTAGGCACCAGAAGGTCTGGGGGCCACGTGCTAAAGATCATCAGAGTAGTTAATTTCCTCCCTTTTGTGGTGGGTTTTAGCATCTGAAAAACTCAGGAAATACCATGAGATACTATTATCTGGGCACTTCGAGAGGAGCTCAGCAGAGGATACAGGTAAGGGATCTGTCCCTGGAAGCCCCCACTGGGTGCTGCTAGATACATTATGAAATGCTGCCTATATGTAATCCCTTCCCTGAGCTTCATAAACTTGAATCTACTTCCTGCAGAGGCCAGTGTAGCTGGTAAGGTGAAGGACTTCACTTTCCCAACGAGTTCTGGATTTTTAGGGGCCACGAAAACTGAAGAGTTAAGGCTTAGAGACAGGACACTTGAGGGGTCAGTATATACTTAGACCTGGCTCAAGTCCTGGCTCTGTCACTTACTAACTCTGTAAACTTGGGAGTCACTTAACCTGCCTCAGTCTCCTTGTGTATGAAGTGGGGACAGTAAGAGGGTTGCGGAGAGAATTAAAGGAAATAATGTCTGTAGAGCAGTTTCCACAGTGCCTGACACAAAGGGTACGCCCTAAAAATATCAGCTCTTATGACAAACCACCGAAAGGGTCATCAAAGCTGTCATTACAAACGACAAGTGGCCTTTGACTACAGAAACATGTTTATAATTAGTGTTGAGGGGAGGAACAGAGTAGTAGATAAGAGTCTGCTCTTGTAAGGAAAAATGTAGCTATTTCTTCATGCATACCCAGATGTCAGTGTCTCTCTACCTCTGGTCTGCCTGCACCTGTTTCTCTGTGTTTGCTTGGCACTCACCTCGACGTCCACTCGGCACTCCCTCGAGTTCCCTGGGAGAATCTGGTCACGCACATCAATCCAGCCCGAGGAGGCTTTGCCTGAAGAACTCTCTGGGGCATAGGGGAGGGATTATGTCACACAACCCACCACAAACTACTTGAACAGGCCCCCGCCCCCAGCGTCTGGCAGCTCTTGCCTGGCCGCTCCCTACCTCTCACTTGCTTGGGGAGGGGGAGGGGAGGTCCTTCAAATTCCTCTCTCCTTTTTCACTACACAGAGCAACTCGTCAGATCCCAAACCAGCAGGAGTCCTGAAATACAGACGCCCTTTGCCAAGACGAGCCACCTTGGAAATCTGGGCAAGTGTATCTCTGTAAGCCTCATGTAAGTTTTATGATCTCTAAAACAGAGCTACTGAAATCTACCTCTAGGGTTGGTGTGAATATGGAATAAGAGAAATCGCTCGATAAATATCACTGTTATGGTATTATGTTATATGATATTTTTATTTTTAAAATAAGAGTTGTGAGATTTCTAAAACTTCACCAGAAAAGTATCTGGAAGAATTTACTGGCAACGTGTTCACAGTAGTTATCAGTAGTTCTATTTCCGTTTCTTCCTTGTATCTTTCCAGATTTATTCATTCATTTCACACGTATATATTAAGCACTCACTATGTGCCAGGCCGTGTGCTAAGAGTTAGGAATACAGCAATGTACTAGACAGGTAAGGAACGTTTAGAGGGGATATTAATCAAATAATTACACAAATAATTGCCATAGTCATAAAGTGCCTAATTTTTGCAGGGTAGAAATCGGGGGTTAGAAAAGTAATTTCTGATCAAAGTACTTAAAGTTTGTGCCTAGAGACGCACAAACAACGAGATCGGATCACTACTGATTTTGGAAAGGACTCAAATACCGGAACTAGGCAGTTAGCAGACTGAGAATGGGAAGGTGCGGTGGGCTAGGGGCGGGTTGGCTGCCTCTTCTCAAATTACTCGTTGCGAGGGCGCCCCTTCGCGGGTAGGGGTCAAACCCGCCGGACGCCTTATATTCAACAGGCTGGGGAGCCGCGGACACAGCAAAGCCGGGAGGTCCACGCGGCAGCTGCACGCGCCTTGACGGCCACGGCGGGGCGACCACGTGAGCGTGGCGCCGAGCGCCCGCCGGGCCTCGGCTCCTCCCCTGCCCGCCGGCTCCTGCCCCAGCCCCAGCCCCAGTCCCAGCCCCAGCTCGGCTCGTGTCCGGATCCGCCGCCCGCGCGCCCAGTGCTACAGCTGCCCCAGTCCCGCTGACGGTCGCCTGCGCTCGCGTCCCTGGAACGCGTCCCTCGCGCCTGGGATCGTCCCAGCCGCCCCTTGCGCCCCTTGCGCCCCGGGATCGTTCCGGCGGCCCCCGCTGCCTCCTCCGAGCGCCGGCCCGCGCGCCCCGCTCGCCGCTCCCCGGCACTCTCGGGGGGCCCCCGCTCTGCAACCTGGAGCACCGGTCGGCGAGCCTCTGCCAGCTCCTGTGGATCCTCGCGGCCGTGGGCAGCGGCCGCCCCGCCTGTCCGCCCGAGGCAGGTAGGTGGGCGGCGGTTGGCCAGGGGGGCCCGGGTCCGGCGCCGCAAGCCTGCGCGCCCGGGTGCAGTCTAAGCGTCTGGAGCTTAAAAGTGGGGCTCCCGGCAGAAGGAGAGTGTATTGGTTAAGCTCTTCGGAACTCAGTGTTTGCTTCTGTAAAATGGGGGAGTCGTGCAGACTAACGGCCGTGTTTATTGGGAAAATCCTTGGCACCTGATGGTCTGGGAGAGGCAGCGTGGCAGCCTCCGCCTGGAGCGCCTCGAGGCCCTTAGAGGGTGGGGGCAGCACTGCCATCCTTACTCTGCAGGGCCCAGAGCCACATTCCCCCACCCTGGCCCCTGAACTAGAGGCCCGAATTCCCGGAACCTCGAGGACAGTGTAGACGCGCCCTTGCTGCATTGTTGACCGCGGGAGTTCGGGCGTTGGCAGTCTTCTTGGACGTGTGCGCCAAGGGGCCGGGCATTCATATGTGAGTGGCGGCGCGGGGGCGGGAGCCTCCCCGGTGAGTCCCGGCCTAGATCCGCTGCGAGGGCCTGGGACATTGCTGGGGAACCAGCTCAACTGCATCCCCAGCGAGACAGATGGGCTGGTGGGAGGGGGACTGCTACCTTTGTCTTGGGACGCTCTCTGGGACCCTGACTTTTGGGTCCTCGGCTCTGGACGCAGCCTGCCTTGGGACGACTCAGCCAGGAAATTGTCCACTCCTGTTCTACAGAGGAGGAAACTCAGGCCCCGAGTGGTCTAAGAGTGGACTGAGTGTGGGAATACAGAGCCAGCAGGTGGGAATTGATAATGCCCGCTGTGTGGATGTGAGGGTGGGGCGGGGGTGGCCTGAGGGTTTTGGGGGAAGGCTTCCTGGAGGAGGTGATGTTTGAGCTGAGCTGCAAAAGATGTTGGTGGAAGGAGGTAGGGTTTAGAGACAGAGGGATGCAGATGTCTTCCTTCTGTGGCTTCCACAGAACCTTACATTTATTCTTTTGTTCACGTATTAATTGAAGAAATACAATATGCTGCCTGGTGATGGTAATTCAGGTATAGCTGGGTCAGGGTTGCAAAACCCCTCCTCTCATCATTTTCTCACAGAGGGGGTGTGTGCTGGGGTCCCAAGTTCTTATCTTTTGCAGGGGGCGGGGAAGCAGGAAGTCATGGCCTGATGATCACTTGAAATGGTCTCAGTTGACACATGATCATTGTGTACATTCTGTGATCTGTAGGTTTTTTCTTTTGTGCTTTTTCGTGACAGAAGCAGTACATTTTGGCTGACTAAGGATGTATCAGTGATATGATTTTAAAACATTTTTAAGGTGTTCTGTGGCAGAGATGGCTACAGGTCACCAATACCCACGTCCTTTTCTCCCTAGGATATCACCTGGGTGGATTTCCCAGGCTCCCTTACAGTTTGGTGGGCCACATGACTGGGCTTTGGCTGACGGAATGCAAGCAGAAATAGTGTGTGACCCTCTCAAGCCTCCATCCTAAAAACCTCCCCTCTTTCCCATTTACTAGCAGAGCAGAGGGGATTCTAGGGCCTAGAGCAGGCAAGCTGGAAGGAGCCTGGGCCCTGGAATGACTGGGGAGCAGAGCCTCCCCTTCCCCCTCTCCCATGGTCCAAGGCTGTCTGCTGAAGAGAATGGGGCTCCAGTAAGCTCTCGGGAAGGTCTGTGGTTATGAGAAGGGCTTGTTGGCTGTGGCCTTCCCCTCGAGGTGATCTGGCTGGGCTGTTCCACAGGGGAAGGATAATTTAGGCCTTTTTTTCTCACAGTGGTCAGATTCCCCAAAGAAGTCTTGTCCAGCCTTTGGCAGGATTGGCATCCGGTTGCTGGGACACTGAGAGCAGCGTGGAAGAAAGCTGAGGGTCACTAGCAGAAACTTGGGTTTGTTCCAGCTCATTCTCTAGGATTTACTCTTTCTGGTCCGATTCTTAAAGCTGATGCAGAAAAAGTTGATGATCAGGCTAGATTCAAAGTAGTAGTGGTTGGCTGGACAGATTGAAAAATAAAAACTTCTGTGTTAGGGAAACTAGTTGTACTGACCAAGAAGCTGCAGATGGTTACCCACAGTGAACTGAAAATGCTCTGGAAGAAAGTGGGCAAAGTGACTCGGGCCTTGAAGTGTTTCTAAATTAAACTCTTGCAGCCAAGGCTGATGGGCACAAACAAGAAAGCTTCAAACAAAGGAGGGAAGGAGTCACTAAAAGGCTGATGATAAAGTAGATGACAGTGCCTGGGTCCCCAAAGTCCCGGGGCTGTGGGACATCCAGAGAAGCACTTCAATGACTGGAAAGTCAGAGGGTGGACAGGGTTCAGTTCTCCAGCGGTGATGCTTTCTAGACCTGGGAAGGACTCCACAGGGAGTGACTGAAAGGCAGGTGGCTCAGCTGCAGAACATCTCTTGGCCGGTGCTTCTTGAGCTTCAGTGCACATGAGCATCACCTGGAAGGCTTGCTGGGCCCACCCCCAGAGTTTACTTTAACAGGACTGGACAAGGGCCCCAGAATTTGCACATTTGACAAGTTCCCGGGTGAGGCTGCCGCTGCTGCTAGTGGCCCCAGGATCACACTTTTAGAAGTGGATTTTCGAGTGATGGCTGAGCAAAAGCTCTGGATGGACCTGCACTGACTTCAAACCCACTTCCCCTACTTCTAGCCTTGTGATCTGTTTCTCAGTTTCCTCATCTGTGCTATGAAGCTAATGGTGCCTACCTCGTGGGATTCTGGGGAGGCTTCCTGGAGGAGGTGACATCTAAGCTGAGACCTGAGGGGTGGCAGAGTTGGCCAGGGGGTGGGTAGGGAGAGCAGGCTAGGGTATGTGCCAAACAGAGGGCACAGCGTGTGTGAGCCAAGGGAGGGGGGAGCCCTTGTCTTCCAGGGTGCTGAGAGGAGTTCTGGAGCAACAGCTTTGTAAGTGATATTGAAATGCTGTGAATCTGTTCTGAGCTACGTGTCTCAGGGCAGGATTGCAGCGAAGGGAAGTCCGACCGGGGCATGGAAAATGGGCCTCCAAATGCGATGGGTCCCGTAGCAGCTCGACTTACTTCTGTCCACATTCCATTGGGTCAAATGTAGTCTCATGCCCCACTGAGACCCAAAAGGATTTGGGCAGGGGAGCACAGATCCATGGTGGAGAACTGCTTGTGCCCCAAACCAGCTCTCTCACCTCTTCTCCACCTTGCTCATGCTGCTCCATTTTGGTGGATGAATTTTACAGATGAGGAAGCTAAGGTTCAGAGAGGTGAGGTAATTTGCCCAACATCACTCAGCTAGTAGTGGCAGAGCTGGGACTTGAACCCATGTCTATTTGTCCCAAAAGCCAAGTTGGGCCAGATCTTGGTCTTGGCTGCTTTTTGAGGGCCTCCCCATGACTCAGGCTTCCCCAGTCAAGACCTCAGCTGTATTTTGGCTTAGTAACCCCTATATGTCTGGTAATTATGACTTGATAGTCCCCCCATTCCTCCATGCCTGCAGTACCCATTATGTCTGCAGAAATTGGCAGCTTTTCTCCAGTTATTCATTTATGCAGGCTGCATTTATGGGGGACCTTGTGTGTGCCAGGCATTGTGCTCTGGACTGGGAGCTAGAGCGGACTCAGACACGGCCACTTTTGTTCCAGATGCTCACATGGTCTGGCCACCGAGAGGCTATGTAAACACAGAGTTCCCTGAGAAGTGAGACATGCCGTCTCTCTGGTCTGACCCTCCAGGAGTACAGAGTGTCCTGGGTACATGAGAAGGATGCCCAGCAAACGAACAGAAATGAAAACTTAAGCCCTCTTGTGCATTTTAAAAATCGAAGCTAGAATTACAGTATCAGTATCATGCTTTGTATTCTAAAAAGTATTTTAAACAAATTTAAAAAATTTAAAATGATTTTAAAACAATAAAGTAGCTTTTGCACCGTAACAGTTTTATATGGACGAAGCACAGTGAACTGCAATGGTATTTTTATGAGCCTTAGAGAAGTGAGTGTCTTCCTGGGTTCAGCTGCGGGTGGCTGTTCTCACTGATGAGTAAGCTAATTTGTCTGTCCCTTTCTGGTGTGCATGAAGGTGTCTTTTTACATACGCGGGGGAAGTCTCCTTGGAATTCCCCCAGAATCATTCTAGAGCAGGATTTCTCAGCCTCAGCGCTATTGACAGTTCGGCCGGACAGTCCTTTGTTGTGAGGAGGGTCCTGTGTACTGTAGGAGGCTTGGCAGCATCCCTGGCCTCTGCCCACCAGATCCCACTTGCACTCCCAGAGTCGTGACAACCAGAGATATCTCCAGACATTGCCAAGTGTCCCCTGAGGGGCCAGATTTGCCCCAGGTTGAGACTTGCTCTTCTAGACTATATTTGTTTCCTGTTGCTATTGTAACAAAATACCGCAGACTCAGTGGTTTAAAGTGACACAGGTTTCTTTTTCTTATGGTTCTGGAGGTCAGAAATTCAAAAGCCAAGGTTGGGGGAGGATATAGCTCAATGGTAGAGTGTGTGCTTAGCATGCACGAGGTCCTGGGTTCAATCGCCAGTATCTCCATTAAATAAAGAAACCTAGTTACCTCCACCACTAAAAAAAATAATAATAATAATAAAAAAAAAAAGCCAGGGTGTCAGCAGGGCTGTGTTCCTTCTGGAGGCTGTAGAAAAAATCTGCTCCCTTGCCTTTTCCAACTTCTGCAAGCCTCCTGCATTCCTTGACTTGTGGCCCCTTCCTTTGTCTTCAAGGCCAGCTGCATAGCATCTTCAAATCTTTCTCTATGGCCCCTCCTTCCACTGTCATACCTCTTCCTCTGACCCTCCTGCCTCCTTTTTATAAGGATCTTTGTGATTACATTGGGCTCATCGAATAATCCAGGGTAATCTCCCCATCTCAAGATCCTTAACTTAATCATACCTGCAAAGTCGCCACACCAGGGAACATATTCATAGGTTTCGGGAATTAGGATGTGGACATCTTTGTCCATTATTCTGCCCACCACATGGACTGTTGCGTCTCTGGGTATAATGGAAATGCTTGTTGAGGACCTG